TAATCCCAGCACTTTGGGAGGCCGAGACGGGCGGATCCACGAGTTCAGGGAGATCGAGACCATCCTGGCGAACACGGGTGACACCCGTCTCTACTAAGAAATACAAAAAACTAGCCGGGCGAGGTGGCGGGGCGCTGTAGTCCCAGCTACTCGGGAGGTGAGGCCGGAGAATGGCGTGAACCCGGGAGGCGGAGCTTGCAGTGAGCTGAGATCCGGCCACTGCACTTCCAGCCTGGCTAGAGCGAGACTCCGCCTCAAAAACAAAAAGGTGTGATATACACATAGCCGGATTTTGTCACCTATTGGGATTATTCATTTCTGGTCTCTGTAGGATGGAGACCTTCTCACCTCTCTGTCGATGATGACAATGAGCTGGGCCACGTCACCCTGTCCCTAGCGAAAGGTTATCACTTCATTGGGGACATGAGAAAGGTCGGGTTGCTGGGGCCGTGCCTGTCTCCCCTCTGCTGGAGAAGATAAGGGAGGCACTCAGCTTTCTTCAGGCAGAGTGTGGGGGAGCCACGATGTATAAATGGGGGGCCAAGAGGCAGCGGAGACACTATTTTACACCACAGTGGACAGGCTGGTCTCAAACTCCTGGGCTCAAGTGATCCTCCTGCTTCAGCCTCCCTAAGTGCTGAGATTGGAGTCTTGAGGCAGGAGAATCACTTGAACCTGGGAGGCAGAAGTTGCAGTGAGCTGAGATTACACCATTGCACTACAGCCTGGTGACTGAGGAAGACTTCATCTCAAAACAAACAAACAAACAAACAACAACAACAACAAACGTGATACGCTTGAATCATCCCGAAACCATTCCCCCAACACTCCATCCATGGAAAAATTGTCTTCCATGAAACCGGTTTCTGGTGTCAAAAGTGTTAGCATCTGCTGCCTCAGGACACCCTTCTGTGTCTCCGTTTCCTCATTTGTAATATGGGAATTGTCTTAGTCCTGAATTGATAACCCCATGCTCCTAAAAGTGTGGTTTCGGCTAGGCGTGATGGCTCACGCCTGTAATCCCAACACTTTGGGAGGCCGAGGCAGGCGGATCACGGGGTCAGGAGATAGAGACCATCCTGGCTAACACGGTGAAACCCCGTCTGTACTAAAAATACAAAAAATTAGCCGAGTGTGGTGGTGGGTGCCTGTAGTCCCACCTACTTGGGAGGCTGAGGCAGGAGAGTGGCATGAACCCAGGAGGTGGAGCTTGCAGTGAGCCGAGATCGCGCCACTGCACTCCAGCCTGAGCGACAGAGCGAGACTCCATCTCAAAAAATAAAATAAAAATAAATAAATAAATAAACAAACAAATAAAATGCTTAGAGCAGTGTGCCTGGCCCCATAGCGCATACTGCACGGGCATTCATTGTTGTTATTATCTTTGAAGAGGTCCAGGACCCTAACGTTGTGGGGGTCTGGTTGCGTCCTCTTGCCCTGCCTGTTGGGATTATTCATTTCTGGTCTCTGTAGGATGGACACCTTCTCGCCTCTCTGTCGATGATGACAATGAGCTGGGCCACGTCACCCTGTCCCTAGCGAAAGGTTATCACTTCATTGGGGACATGAGAAAGGTCGGGTTGCTGGGGCCGTGCCTGTCTCCCCTCTGCTGGAGAAGATAAGGGAGGCACTCAGCTTTCTTCAGGCAGAGTGTGGGGGAGCCACGATGTATAAATGGGGGGCCAAGAGGCAGCGGAGACACTGGCCCACTCGCACGTCCGAGGCATCTCTGTCCAGCATGGCCAGGTACACGCTGCTGCTGCTCCTGGCGGTGTGGGTGCTGACGGGGGAGCTGTGGCCGGGGACTGAAGCCCGGGCAGCGCCTTACGGAGTGAAGCTTTGCGGGCGAGAATTCATCCGAGCAGTCATCTTCACCTGCGGGGGATCCCGGTGGAGACGATCGGACATCCTGGCCCACGAGACTATGGGTGAGGCTAGGGAGAGAGTGGATGTAGGAGGGGAACGGGTGGCTGGATGGGTCCCAGGAGCTAAGGACAGAGATGAGAGGAGGTTGCTGGAGGAGGAGGGTCCTTGCCCTGCCACATTCGGCCAGGGACACCTGCCCAGCCTTGAAACAAGGGCTCAGGAGTTAGCAGAGCTGCAGAGCTGGGATGGGGGGTTGCAAGCCATCCCTGGGGGCTGGAAGTCCGAGCACAGGTTACTCTTTTCTGAGCAGCTGCTATGTGTCCTGTGCAAAGCAGAGCTGCTGCTTGTATGCTCCGGAGGTGGGGGCTAGGAGAGCGCCATTGGCAAAGACAACACCAAAGTGGTTTCCAACCCTTTCCAGCAGGTAATGTGAAGGGTGTGATATACACATAGCCGGATTTTGTCACCTAATGCGTGACCTCTCTCCAGCAAGCTGGTTTCTCCTCCCGTCTCTGTCTTTTTTTTTTGAGATGTGGTCTCACTCCATTGCCCAGGCTTGAAGGCAGTGGCCCAATCACTGCTCACTGCAGCCTTGACCTCCCAGGCTCAAGCGATCCTCCCGCCTCAGCCTCCAGAGTAGTTGAGACCACAGGCACCTGACACCACGCCTGGCTAGTTTTAATTTTTTTTTTTTGTAGAAACAGGGTCTCACTATTTGCCTAGGCTGGTCTCAAACTCCTGGGCTCAAGTGATCCTCCTGCTTCAGCCTCCCTAAGTGCTGAGATTGGAGTCTCTGAGTGGCTTTATCTTCAAATGGGAGACACAGTTCCTGAACCTTGCAGGATTAAGTGGTGTGATTAAGTCAAAAGAGATTAGGGCAGAGTCTAAGCAGGGCAGCGGCACAGTCTGGGATCTATCAGGAGAGTCGGAGGGAACAGAAGACCTAGCTTCATGAGGGGCAGGGGCCTGGGAAATAGATATTCATGTTGGTGAGAAGGAGGATAGATATGACCGTGGACCTAGAAGACACACCACTTGGATTCAGATAGTAACTCTACAACGTAATAGTTGTGTGTTCATGTGCTAATCTTTTTTTTTTTTTTTTTTTTGAGACAGAGTCTCGCTCTGTCGCCCAGGCTGGAGTGCAGTGGTGCAATCTCGGCTTACTGTAACCTCCATCTCCTGGGTTCAAGTGATTCTCGTGCCTCAGCCTCCCAAGTAGCTGGGATTACAGATGCGTGCCACCATACCCCGCTAATCTTTTTATTTTTAGTAGAGACAGGGTTTCACCATGTTGGCCAGGCTGGTCTCAAACTCCTGACCTCAGGTGATCCACCGACCTCAGCCTCCCAAATGCTGGGATTACAGACATGAGCCACCACGCCTGGCCGTGCAAATTCTTTACTGAGTCCTGCCTCAGTGGTCTCCTCTGGAAAATAGGGGTGCTAACTGCACCCACCTCAACTGGTTGTCACTGAGAAGAATAAAGAAGTTAACCTGCTAAAGCACTTAAATGTTGTTTGACACACAGTAAGTGATCAATAAATTATTATTATTATTATTATTATTATTATTTTAGAGACAGGATCTTGCCCTGTTGCCCAGGCTGGAGTGCAGTGGTATGATCACAGCTCACTGCAGCCTCAACCTCTTGGGCTCAAGCAATTCTCCTGCCTCAGCCTCCTGAGTAGCTGGGACTACAGGCTTGTGCCACCATCTCTAACTTATGCTACCATGACTAACTTATTATTATTTGTAGAAACAGGGTAGTGCTGTGTTGCCCAGGCTGTTCTTGAACTCCTGGTTCTAGTGATCCTCCTGCATGGGCTCCTGCAAGTTCTGGGATTACAGGTATGAGCCACCATGCCTGAACTAATCATTTTTGAGTGCTCATCATGTCCCAGACATTGTTCTAAGTTTTTTTTTTTTTTTTTTCTTTAATGGATATTAACTCCCCTACTCCTTATAAAACTTGAGAAGGTTGGAGTAATTATTTTTTTTCCACTTTGCAGAAAAGAACATTGAGGCTCCAATAAGTAAATTTACTTGCTCACGATTACAGCTTGGAGGGGCTGGATTCATGCTCAGTCAGCCCAGCTCCCAAATGTACCAGGTCCTCAATTAATAATGAAGAGTAAGGGAAAATAAATGACAGGGTTGGGTGCAGTGGCTCACTCCCGTAATCCCAGCACTTTGGGTGGCTGAGGTGGGCAGATCATTTGAGGCCAGGAGTTTGAGACCAGCCTGGCCAATAATGGTGAACCCTGTCTCTACTAAAAATACAAAAATCAGCCAGGCCTGGTGGCAGACCCCTGTAATCCCAGCTACTCTCCCACCTACTCTGGCAGAGCCAGAATTTGAACCCAGGACCGGGTGGAATCAAAACTCTGAACTATGTCTGTGAACTATGTCTATAACTGTTGTCACAAGATCAGAGCTAGACCGTCCAGGAGCCAGGACTGTGGGTGCAGCGGCAGCTGAGCCCTGAGCACTAACTCTGTTCATCTTTTGCAGGAGATACCTTCCCGGATGCAGATGCTGATGGAGACAGTCTGGCAGGCCAGCTGGATGAGGCCATGGGGTCCAGCGAGTGGCTGGCCCTGACCAAGTCACCCCAGGCCTTTTATGGGGGGCGACCCAGCTGGCAAGGAACCCCCCGGATTCTTCGGGGCAGCCGAGATGTCCTGGCTGGCCTTTCCAGCAGCTGCTGCAAATGGGGGTGTAGCAAAAGTGAAATCAGTAGCCTTTGCTAGTTTGAGGGCTGGGCAGCTGTGGGCACCAGTACCAATGCCCCAGTCCTGCCATCCACTTAACCAGTGTCTGGCTGGGTACGTGTCTTTCGAGCCTCACATATTCATTCTTTTGTCTGCAAGTCACAAAGTCCAGGCACTGTGGGCTCAGGCACAGTCCCCGGACACCACCTATCCAACCCTGCCCTTTGACCAGCCTATCATGACCCTGTCCCCTGAGCAAGCTGTGCCCCTGCCTGGACAAGTGGGGACCCCTGATCCTGACCTCTGACCTCTCCCTAACCCTAACTATGCGTTTGCCTGTGACTGCACTGCCACAACTGGGTCCCTATTCTACCCAGACAGGCCACACAGTGACCCCTGCCCCCTGCCCTAGTCCAACTGTCTTAGTCCAGCCTTTGCACGCAAGCTTCCTTTTCCTTGCTTTCCATCCCCTCTCCTCCAACTCCCCTGACAAAGTTCCAAGGCTGTGGACCCCAGAGAAGGTGGCAGGTGGCCCCCGTAGGAGAGCTCTGGGCACATTAGAATCTTCCCAAACTCCAATAATAAAAATTCCAAGACTGGCAGAGAGTGTGTGTGTGTGTGTGTGCGCGCGCGCGCGGTTGTTGGGCGTAGGACAGGTTTCAGGGATGCGCGGTATGCGGTACCCTCCCTCGGAGGCCCCCACCCCCAGACGCCCCAGGCCGCCTCCCCACTCCCCCTCAGCAGCCCCAGCGGGGACTTTCCGTCGCGGGGAAGGGGCGGGGACCCGGAGCGAAAGGTGCGGAGGCGGCCTGCAGGGGTGGCTCGGCTTCCCGTTGCCGCCTCGGGCGCTGTACCCAGAGCTGGGAGCCGAGCAGCGCAGCCGCGCGGGCCCGGCAGGGCTGGGCCGGACTCGGGACGCGCGGGGGGCGCCATGCGGGGAGGCAGGGGCGCCCCTTTCTGGCCGTGGCCGCTGCCCAAGCTGGCGCTGCTGCCTCTGCTGTGGGTGCTTTTCCAGCGGACGCGTCCCCAGGGTGAGTGCTGGAGGGAGCTGGTGTCCCGGGTGCTGCCGCTGCTCTCCCCGCGAAGGCGCCAATGCTCTAGGATAAGCCACGCGTTTGCGGAGCGAAAGGCAGAGGTGCAGGCGCCACTCGGCTCCCCCGGGGCAGGGACCCGGCGACTCTGGGGAATGGGCGGCAGCAAGGTCGAACCGGAGCCCCGGGGCGGGGTGGGGGAGCTCTCCGGGTGGTTAACAGGATGTGGCGAGCACAGGGAAAGGGGGGGTTTGCACGGAGCCTGGGGAGGCTTCCTGCTGCTCATTTCCCTAAGCCCCCCACCTTGCAATTGTCAGAAGTCCAAGTTCTGGGGTGTGCAGGCGGAAGTGGGGGATTCGACCCCCTTTCCTGAGACCCTCTGACTCCCTCTCCAGGCAGCGCCGGGCCACTGCAGTGCTACGGAGTTGGACCCTTGGGCGACTTGAACTGCTCGTGGGAGCCTCTTGGGGACCTGGGAGCCCCCTCCGAGTTACACTTTCAGAGCCAAAAGTAGTGAGTACAGGGAGGTGACGTGGGGAAACAAGCTTTGGAGGTGGCCGCTCAGGTCCCAGACTGCCATGGTTGAAAGGTTCTAGGAGTCAAGCCTGGCCAACATGGTGAAACCCTGTCTATACTAAAAATACAAAAAAAGTTACCCGGGGGCGGTGGCGCCCGCCTGTAGTCCCCGATACTCAGGAGGCTGAGGCATGAGAGTCGCTTGAACCCGGGAGGCGGAGGTTGCAGTGATCCCAGATCTCGCCACTGCACTCCAGCCTGGGGCACAGAGTGAGACTGTCTCAATTTAAAAAAAAAAAGAAAAAAAAAGAAAAAAGAAAAGTCTCAGGAGTCTGCCCCCCTCCCCCAATACTCCTCCACTCCGAAGCCCTTCAATTCTAGCTTCCCTCGTTTCTCTGCTGTGTCACCCTGGGCAAATCACTTTCCCTCTTTGAGGCTCCTTTACATTTCTCTGTTAAATAGCAATCATAGGGCCAGGAGAGGTGGCTTGCACCTGTTATCCCAGCATTTTGGGAAGCTGAGGCGGGAGGATCGCTTGAGCCCAGGAGTTCAAGAGTTCAGAGTTTTAGAGAGCCCGTCTCTTTTTCTTTTCTTTTCTTTTTTTTTTTTTTTTTGAGATGGAAGTCTCGCCTCTGTCGCCCAGGCTGGGTGCGGTGGCCGGATCTCAGCTCACTGTGCAAGCTCGCTCCCGGGTTTACGCCATTCTCCTGCCTCAGCCTCCCGAGGTAGCTGGGGACTACAGGGCGCCCGCCACCTCGCGCGGCTAGTTTTTGTATTGTTTTTTTTGGAGACGGAGTCTCGCTCTGCCGCCCAGGCTGGAGTGCAGTGGCCGGATCTCAGCTCACTGCAAGCTCGCCCTCCCGGGTTTACGCCATTCTCCGCCTCAGCCTCCCGAGTAGCTGGCGCACTACAGGCGCCCGGCCACTTCGGCCCGACTAGTTTTTTTGTATTTTTTAGTAGAGACGGGGTTTCACCGTGTTAGCCAGGATGGTCTCGATCTGCTGACCTCGTGATCCGCCCGTCTCGGCCCTCCAAAGTGCTGGGATTACAGGCTTGAGCCACCGCCGGCCCTGTATTTTTTTTTTTTTTTTTTTTTTGGGACAGAGTCCTTGCTCTGTCACCATGCTGGAGTGCAGTGGGCGCGATCTCGGCTCACTACAAGCTCCGCCTCCTGGGTTCACGCCATTCTGCCTCAGCCTCCCGAGTAGCTGGGGACTTACAGGCCGCCCGCTACCACGCCCGGCTAATTTTTTTGTATTTTTAGTAGAGACGGGGTTTCACCGTGTTAGCAGGATGGTCTTTATCTCTGACCTTTGTGATCCGCCCGTCTCGGCCTCCCAAAAGTGCTGGATTAGGCGTTGAGCCACTGCGCCCGCCTATATTTTTTTTTTAGTAGAGTACGGGGGTTTCACCGTGTTAGCCAGGATAGGCTCGATCTCCTGACTCGTGATCCGCCCATCTCGGCCTCCCAAAGTGCTGGGACTACAGGCTTGAGCCGCTCCCGGCCTTTTTTTTTTTTTTTTTTTGAGATGGAGTTTCGCTCTTGTTGCCCAGGCTGGAGTGCAATGGTGCGATCTTGGCTCACTGCAACCTCACTCCTGGGTTCAAGCGATTCTCCTACCTCAGCCTCCCAAATAGCTTGGGATTTACAGGCATGTGCCACCATGCCTGGCTCATTTTGTATTTTTAGTAGGGGTGGGGGAGTTTCACCATGTTGACCAGGCCTGGTCTTGAACTCCTGACCTCAGGTGATCCACCTGCCTCAGCCTCCCAAACTCTTGGATTACAGGTGTGAGCCACGCACACGTGGCGAGAGCCCCTCTGTTATAAAACATAAACTATAATATAAATAAAGGGAAATAGGCCAGGCGCTGTGCTCACGCCTATAATCCAGCACTTTGGGAGGCTGAGGTGGGCAGATTACTTGAGGTTAGGAGTTCAAGACCAGCCTATAGTAATCCAGCTACTCGGGAGCTGAGGGTGGGAGGATCACTTGAACCCAAGAGCAGAGGTTGCAGTGAGCTAAGATTGTGCCCTGCACTCGCAGCCTGGGTGACAGAATGAGACTCTGTCTCAAAAAAATTTTTAAAAATAAAATGGCCAGGCCGGTGTGCGTGGCTCACGCTGTAATCCCGGCACTTTGGGAGGCTGAGCGGGTGGATCCCGAGGTCAGGAGATCGAGACCATCCTGGCTAACACGTGAAACCCTGTCTCTACTAAAAAAATACAAAAAAAAAAAAAAAATCGCGCGATGTGGTGGGCGATCGCCTGTAGTCCCAGTACTAGGGAGGCGAGGCAGGAGAATGGCGTGAACCCGGGAGGTGGAGCTTGCAGTGAGCTGAGATCAGGGCACTGCACTCCAGCCTGGGCTACAGAGGGAGACTGCGTCTTTAAAAAAAAAAAAATGGCTGGCGCGGTAGGTCACCCCTGTAAGCACTTGGGAGCGCACGGCGGGGCAGATCACGAGGTCAGGAGTTCGAGAAGCCTGACAACATGGTGAAACCCCATCTCTACTAAAAATACAAAATTAGCCCGGTCTAGTGTGCATGCCTGTACCCCGAGTCACAGGAGGCTGACGGCAGCAGAATCGCTTGAGCCCAGGAAGCGGGGCGCTTGGCAGTGAGGCCCAGCATCCGCACCCACTGCACTCCAGCCTGGCAACAGAGTGAGACTCCGTCTCAGAAACAAAATAAAAATAAAAAATAAAAACGGAAATAATAATGGAACCTACTTCTGAAGGTTGAGTCTGAGTGTTCAAAGAGTTAGGTGCTTGGCAAGGAGAAAGTTGCTTCATAATGTGAAGCTGTTTTTTATTGCTGTGTGACATCAGGCAAGTCACTTAACCTCTCTGAGCATGTTAAAAGATTATTCAGTGTGGTGCTGGGGATGCTGCCGTGAAAGAGGTAGACAGAAAGCCTTGCCCACAGTCCAAGGAAGAGACCTGTGTTTCTTCATGATGAATCGTACCTGGAAACTCATAATTTCAAATTGGGCTAAGTGAGGGAAGAGGAAAAGGGCCATTGAAAGATAAGAATGGGCCGGGTGCGGTGGCTCAAGCCTGTAATCCCAGCACTTTGGGAGGCCGAGGCAGGTGGATCACGAGGTCAGGAGATCGAGACCATCCTGGCTAACATGGTGAAACCCCGTCTCTACTAAAAATACAAAAATTAGCCAGGCTTGGTGGCACATGCCTGTAGTCCCAGCTATTCGGGAGTCTGAGGCAGGAGAATCGCTGGAACTCGGGAGGCAGAGGTTGGAGTGAGCTGAGATCGCACCACTGTACTCCAGCCTGGGCGACAGAGCGAGACTCTGTCTTAAAAAAAAAAAAAAAAATCACACAACATAAAACTTATGATATTTTTAAAATTTATTTTGGGAACAGTCTTTTACTCCTGTCACCCAGGCTGGTGCAGTCAGCTCACTGCAGCAACTTCCCAGGCTCAGGTGATCCTCCCACCTCATCCTCCTAAGTAGCTGGGACTACAGGCATGCACCACCATGCCCAGCTAATTTTTAAAATATATTTTAGTAGACACAAGGTTTTACCATGTTGCCCAGGCTGGTCTTGAACTCCTGAGCTCAAGAG